AACTATGAAACATAATAGGAATTTTGTCATTATTTTCCCCAATCCTAGATGTTTACTTCACCTTAGAGGCTGTTAAAATACATCCATTCATGTAGGTTATCTAGATGGTTGACATTTTGTTTGCTTTACAGCAGTGCGACGATACCTTTTTTCTCCACCTTCTGAAAGCATTTTCTTGCAGATCACTTGAAAAACTCCTGGCAGTCAAAGATGAATGCTCGTAAGCTGAAAGGGCTGATTCTCAGCGACTGCAATAGCATAATCTTTGTTGCAGTAACAGAAAATGAAGCCATCTGCTACTGCATATTGTTAAAATACACAGATTATGCCAGTGTTTGGGGCAGAACTCCCTGAGGTTTGGGAGGACACAGAAACTGCGTCTCCATAAGGGTGGGTAGCACCACTGTGGGCCCTTAGGAAAACAGATGACTTCAGCATGCGGATTTGGCACAGTGACAGACTAAATCGCTGGGACACAGCTCATCAGGCACAAGCGGTGCCAGCAGCTGGACTGGGATGGAAAAACCTCTCCAGCCCCATAAACGTTCTCGTGATCCCACGTGTCTGTTTCACCTCACTTTAGATCCCTAACGTACCACAGGCTAAGAAGGTAGGAGACACAGAGCAAAGAAAAAGCACTCTACCTCCTTCCCTGTCAGGTACTGCGTGTCAGCAGCCAACGAGGCAGTACAAAACCTAAGCCCAAAAAGAACCAAACCCTTGGAAGCGTCTCTAGCAGATGCTTCTGTAACACTGCGGTGTGGCAAACAGCTCATCTCCCTGATCTAAAATGAACACATATAATGAATTCAGTGTTGGGTCTGAAGTTACAAGAAACTTGCTGTACCTTCCCACACACGTACATTGACACCTCCTTATTTCGCTCATCCCCACCAACAGCCCTTGAACTAGCTTCCATAGATTTTACATATCCTCTCTAAATTGCTGTTGGAAAAAAGGTGGTAATCCAAAGGAAGGAGCAATTATCACTATAATAAAGATGAGAAAATAAACACATCCTCAGTCAGTTATGTAAATAATCCTGCTTAGAAAAAAACTCCAGGTAATATACGAACAGCAAGGTGACAGAAGGTACCTCCTGTAATGAGCAGTAACATGTTACAGTTACATTTCCAAACTAATTCTGAATTGCTTCCGGTATGGTGATGCTTATTTGACATTATACAATTGTGCTGGTTTTGGCTGGGATAGAGTTAATTTTCTTCACAGCAGCTGGTATGGGGCTGTGTTTTGGATTTGTGCTGGAAACAGTGTTGACAACACAGGGGTGTTTTGGTTATTGCTGAGCAGTGCTTACACAGAGTCAAGGCCTTTTCTGCTTCTCACCCCACCCCACCAGCGAGCAGGGTGGGGGGCACGAGGAGTTGGGAGGGGACACGGCCGGGACAACTGACCAAAGGGATATCCCACACCATGTGGCGTCATGCTCAGCATATAAAGCTGGGGGAAGAAGAAGGAAGGGGGGATGTTTGGAGTGATGGCATTTTGTCTTCCCAAGTAATGGTTACGCGTGATGGAGCCCTGCTTTCCTGGGGATGGCTGAACACCTGCCTGCCCATGGGAAGGAGTGAATGGATTCCTTGTTTTGCTTTGCTTGTGCGCACAGCTTTTGCTTTACCTATTAAACTGCCTTTATCTCAACCCATGAGTTTCCTCACTTTTACCCTTCCAATTCTCTCCCCCATCCCACTGTGGGGGATTGAGTGAGCAGCTGTGTGGGGCTTAGTTGCCAGCTGGGGTTAAACCACAACACCAATAATAACAGTTTTTATAAGTACTCTTACATAATTTAGCCATCTTGAGTTTTAGCACAGTTACTTATTCACAGCCAGCAGGAGCTCCCGTGGGGTTTGCTCTATGGCCCAGCGAGGACTTCGAGAAGAGGCTTCGTTGCAGCTTCTACCAGTTCAACTTTTTAGGACTTTCAGCCTCCTCAACACTCACATTCAGCTGAGTTGCACAGCAATAGAGTAAGCTAAAATCACTACGTGGCACTCTTCCTTACAGTCATCTTCCATGACTAGTTCAACATTTCAGCATCTCATCACCTGCCCCTTTTAACAAGGAACTATTTCACAGTCTCAGCAGACCCTCCCTCACTTGGGGGAAACAAGAGAGGAGCTGCAGGTCTTCCCTGTGGTACTCTACAATTCAGTTCAGCCTTCTAGAAATCTACACGAGATAAATTAATACCATGGATTTTGGTATAGAAACTTCAAGTATCATCCACTGTAGCTAGCAGGTCAAACAATGGGGTTTTTTTCTCCCCAAATACTTTCTACATGAAGCCTGTTCTGCCCCCATCACTACAACAAGGGCCATACCTCTTTGAGCAAGATTTTGCTGCTCAGCTTTAGCTTTGTAAATTGAGCCTTAGGCTCCTAATAAACTCCCCAACTCCTACATTGCTATAGGATCTAGTACGCTAAGAAAATGTCATTTATCAGATCAGCAACACTTACCTTCTGAAGATGCTCCCAACCCCTTCCTCCAGAGCTAACTCACTTACTGCATTTTTTTGTTTGCTTTAATGATGCTCCTGCTTTAATTTCCTCCTCTGCTATCCACACCCACAGCAGGTGCATCAAATGCAGTAAGTCCCACCTGCAAGCTTTTTACACAGATTAGGTGGTAGTGGCAATACTTTAAAAAGTCCTTTATAGGTTCCCAGGAACTGGCTAAGTTGAAGTTTTAAGTCAGGAAGTGTTTTAATGTGATTTTTTTTTTTTTAAAGATGCTTGAGTACCCTGAATCAAAAAAGACTATTTCGATAGCTACAGTCCAAGCACATAAAGCAGTTCATGTTTAATTTAATATCTTGGTTTGGCTTTACCAGGATTATTTGTTGAAGTTTAATGCTAAAATAAACCTAAGAATGCTTTTTTTATAATTATCTGCTCTTGATTTATTAACATGTAAACACCTTCAAATGTTTTAAAGAAAAAACATAATAGTAATGCAAACTTAATCTTGGATGATGGAAATACAACTATGTTTAAAAAAGGAACCATTATTTCAAAATAAACATCTGACACTTTCAGAAGTGATTTTTTTTCTCTGTTCCTTTAAAAACAGATCTCTTGGTGCATATATTAAGATCATGATTTTTTTCAGCTGTGCTGCGTTTTTTTCGAATAATGTTGCTTATGGTCTGTTCTCTGCTCCCATAAGGGCTACGTACGTTGCTTCTATGAGAATTGGGTCTTCCTATGGCTTTTCAAAGGATTTACTGCTTGAGTTTAATCTCCCTAGAAAATGTCTCAAAATAAGAATAAAAGGCTGCAATTTTTCTTTCTAAAAACATGTTTGGAATTATGTACTGCTACTTAGTCTGGTGCACCAAGCAATTGTGAACTGTTGGTATTTAGCAGGTACGTTTAGACGGTGAGGTAGAATGGTTCCACAGAAGTGAGGTACAACGTGCTGATTGTAATAAGGCATGGAACATGAAAGAAGAAGGTCTCGATCCTGTCTAGCCAGTAGATATTTTGCTGTTAATTTTAAAGACCACAGGAGCAGATCATAAGGCTATGTTTTAAAATTAAACATCCAAAAAATACAGAAAAATACCAGTTGGTACTTAAAAAAAAGATTTCAAGAATGCTTTCGATTTTTTTCTTTCCCTGCAAAGGAAAATTGATTTTCAATAACATCTGGGTATTTCTGTGCTATCTGCAGTAAGAGAATGCTTGCCCCGTCCACTGCGTAGCTCATTATTAGGTTAGCAAGCAGTATTGTATATTGTAGGCATCCAGTCAGTAGCAGCAAAGTGCGGGAACACAGATTACAAATAATAAATACGACTTTCAAAATGTAGGAGTATTTTAAAAAATTTTATTTCATTTGTAATGAAACAACTGAGTTCTGCTCAAATTTATACAGTCAGTGAAATAATCTTATAAAATGATTTTTCTAGGACGTTACAAGGCACATAAATTACCAAATATAAACATAGAAAAGTAGCCAAAATAATGAACTAAGCCCCCATATGCCTTTAGCTATTTTAGAGGTGCGTGAATGATTTACAAGAATGTGAATCACTCCACTGACAGGGTAATGAATATTTCACGTTTGGCATGACCAACAAAATTAAAAATAAGGGGAAGGAAAAGCTCAGATTCGAGAAGAGCGTAGTGTTTTGTGACTCAGGAGGGACTAGCATCTTCTGAAGCTCCTCCTTGGGTCAAAGGCCTGTGCGTCCTTTACCGCTTCCCTTCGTGGGTTGCAGTACATCACCCCGCTAGTACAACCGGCCATCTCTATTGTCTGACAGAGGAAGGGGCAACCTCTCAACTTCCCCGGGCTTCTATATTGGGCAACTTTGTAAAAAACAGGAAGGATCTACGTACAGATCCAGCACTGAGCATTGTCTTTAGCTTTAAAGAGTAGAAAGGGCGGGGGGGGGGGTTCTTGGGCTGTTGTTTTTCTTTAAAGTAATCGCTTTGGGAAGTCGTTTGGCATGCAATAAGTCTTTATATTCTACTGGTTAAGAAAATCTTGCAACCCATAAAAATAGTCAATTTTTATTTCATTTCAAGAGGCATTACCAAATAATTTCCACAAATACTCATTTTCCACCTGCATATATATTTTTCAACTAGCCTAACAGTCAAAGGATTCAATGTAATAAGATTTTCATACAAATATATTGTATTGTTTATTTTCTTCCATTAACAGGATCCACTCCTTTATGTAACTCTAAGTATACATTCACATATTAAAGAGTAATAATTTGGCTAAAAATATATGTCTATTTCTTATCTGATTGTAGTAATTAGCCTATCAAGGGTAATTTGCTATAAAAGATACAGTACTAGAAATAAATAGTTCTACATTTCAAAGATCTTCAAAATGGGTTGCCATTTCCAGTCTGTCTTAAATTTTCCAAAGTCCTTGTAAAGCGTAAACTAAATTTACTACACTTGAGAAAAAAATTTGGACCTACGTACATAGAGTCCCAATCACATGAGAAGCTTATTTCACTTAATCTCCTTCTTGGTTTTGTAATGGGCAGAAACAACCAGATAATTGTCTGGATTCATGTCCCTGAGGGTTGGAGACTTGCTCTGGATTGGAGAAGTTTTCCCATCCACTCGGGAGATCTGCAACATTCGGCACGGGTCATGCTTCAGTAAGTAACCTGCAAAAGTCTCCCATCCTCCTCCAACACGAACCATCACATGTTTGTTGTGCAGCATCTGAAATTACATATGCAGGAAAAAAAAACCCAAAAACTCTTGAGAGGGAACCATTCACTGGGAAATCACATTTTTTTCTACTGGAAAAAACTGTGCTTACTTCAATTAAAAGTCACAGACGTATGTTGGTAGTCTGCTTTATAATAAAAGGAAAGGAAAAGAAATAGTAGAATGGTTTTTCTTTGAATTTAATAAGTAAATTTAAAAACCTGTAAGAAAATGAGATAGTATTTAAAACTAAAAATTTTCATATTTTATGTAAACAATGCTACATGTTTTTCTAGTCCTGTAGCACCGAGTGATCCTGTTCTTCATGCATTTAGTATAATCACGTTCGGCAACATGAATGTTTTTCAGATTAACTTTTTGAAAATACGTTAGTAAAGACACCATTTTATATGTCTTGAAACTGGCTTTTCTTTATAGGATAGGGATCTATAAAAAAAGGACTAGTGAACGGCAAACAACCAAAACAATCTCTACCTCCTAAAATATCAAAAAAGTTATTTAAGAAAAGGAAGTACCATTTAGTTTAACGATTTAGAATCGCTGACACACATTCTAACTAAAATAGCCTAATGTTGTAATGAAATCAGTCTAGTGAGGGTTATCAGAAATAATGTATCTGGAACTGTTTGGAGATACCGAAATTTACGCTGAGTTGTGAAAGAAAATACAAGAAAAGTCCCCAGGCTCTTACTAGTGGGAAAGCTCAGTACTGCTTATGCTGCTGTCTTTATTCCAGAAACACTGGGGCTTAACCTACAAAGGAATTTCAGGTTGAGAGGGGCAGCTAACTGCCAAAGTAGGTACCTATCTCTAACGTATATCCTCCAGATCCACACTCGGTTTTTGCCTAAACTCAAATAAAATTTTTCACCAAGTACCAATGTAACTTCTCCCATGTCTGCACCTGCGAGTTCAGCCGGCAGTTTCACCGATTTCTCTTCTCCGGTTCTCCATGCAGAACAGACAAATCAATAGCAGGGAGGTATCATAAAGCAGCACATTCTATAGAAGCCACATCATAAATCACGCATTGAAAAATGCTTTGATTAGTACATCTCATCAAATGCTAAACATCATTTAGCCGTAACACCAGAAATTAAAAATTGGCCCTGTAAAAGGCACGCTAGAAGATGTTTAACGTAGTCTGGGTAATGACATTTGGATTTATGGCTGTGATGTGTATATGGGCTCTTCTGCATGTCCAAAACTCCCTCGAGGGCTGACAGTATTTGCAGTTGAGACTTACGTGGCACATAAGCCTCTTGTAACACAGCACAATTCCGATTAGTACACATAGCATAGACAACAAAACAAGAAAAATTCTCAATCAAACAAAATCACAGATAATAAAAGGCAAAAATGTAACTCTTAAAAAAAAAACCCAACCAACAAACACCCCACCTCAGCCTAAAAATACGTTGTTCGACTTCTGTTACATGAGGAGCCGGATTCACCTGGAATGAAGAAAGCATGGAAAGCTGTACAGCTTTCTAAAGTTTGAAAATCAGGGTAAGCTTCTAAGGAATCAAACTCTTCATTTGAATAAGCAGCTGCAGATGAAATCTTGTTTGAAAGTTTTCATTTAAAACATTTTAATGCAGAGGAAATAATTGTTCTTGCTTCTGCATTGTGGTTTTTATGTGAAACACAGTGGGAAATCAATTCAGCTTTACAGATACTGAAAAATAAAGTTACTTCTGATCCATCCTAACGAGAGCACGCTCAAGTACTCTTAGTTTAATTAACATCTCTCAGCTACTGAGACTGTCTGTGCTGTTGCTCTGGGTTGTAGGAGAGTTTGCCTCTGCAATAGCTATGCGCAAGTGAGGTTTTTCTCTAGATTTATATGGATATGAAAGCAGAATCAGACGCACTTCTTCGCCAATCACACTTTTTCTCTTCCCTCTCCAGCTTTGTATTTTAGTGTCGAGACTTCATTTTGAACTGACAATGGTATGATCAGCCTTCAGCGGTATGAGATTTGAATCAAGTCTTTCATCTGGACAATATATCACGAAAGAAGCAAATGGTTTTTACATCGTTTGGAAACTGCAGTTCAAATGGTGACACAGCCTCAAGACAAAGGAGTCTACAGAATTTTATTTAGCAACTTTCTCCTCTTTGAATGTCTAAAAAGCATTTGAGAAATGCCCCCAAAACTTTTCACACAAAAGCATTTTAAGCCCAACTGCGGTCCGCTACAGCATGTGATGCTGCTGTGGGAAGGAGTTAACAGCTTCCACATACTGTCACGGGGGGTTCACGTTCCAAGAGCAGCTAGTATCTGGACTTTTGATTAAGAGTTAGGAACGGAAAGTTAGCAAAAAGTGTATTTGGTTCAATTTCCCTTAGGGACTACTGTGCAGACAAACAAAACCTACTGCTGGTATGTTATTTCCTGATGCTCAGGTTAAGCGTACAACTTCTGTCTTTCCCCTCTATTTTCCTTCTCTTTGTACTATTATGCTGTTATAAAAGTCATTGAATGCTTGCTTTCTATAGAGACTGGGTTTTCCTACATCCAAAATATAGTCATTGTTCATGCTGTGCTGTGCCACAAAAGCACTATTTTACTCCTACGGCCATATTTTGATGCTAGTAACACCAGCACAAATCCAGAATAATTCTGCTAGCTTCAGAATTGCTCCAGGTTCACAGACGTAGAAAGGATTTCTCACCAAGGGGAAAAAAAAAAGAACAAAATAACTTGCTCTACTTTGTAACTGAAAAAGCAGTTTCCTCCCCAACATACTTCAGCTGAAGATGAAACTTTTGAGATTTTATGATCCGCCCAATTCAGCTTTTCCATTGCATGAGATCTCTGAGACAGAAAAAGATGGATTCTACAATAATAAAGTTCATTAGTCAGTTACCAACGTAAATAAATTCATGACATACGTGTATTTTCACACTGCTATCCAGCCAATTGAAACTGGGAAAACCCTTTCTGTAAAATAAAATCCAACATATGTTTACAATTGCCACAAATCTTCATTATTTCTGTTGTGTCTGAAGCAGGGCTGTCACTAAAGCTGTTCCTTCTAGAATCTGTGTTTAAGTTAGAACAGTTGAATCTATGGTGAAGCAAACAGATGAGAAACCAGATGACCAGACAATAGCATCACGGAGGAGGAATTATAGACGGTTTTAGTAGGCATTAAGGCTGTATCAAGAGATAGCATGAAAAATAGTCAACAAAAGTTAAGCTGTCATTGCATAGAACTTTGGCATCAAAGTGAAACGTAGTCTAAATGGTTCTGGGTTTCACATAAATAAGTTTAGAGAACCTTATGGCTTATTGAAGACATATTAGGCTGTATGTAAAGATATTTAAGCTCATGTAAATGAGTATAGTTTTACTGACTTGAAAAAAAAAAAAAACCTATTCTGTTTTATTGGAACCAAAAATCTGGCCCAATATTGTTATTCTTCAGATTCTATTATAACTTTCTGAAAGAATATTGTGGG